CATTAGCTATGGCGTAAGGGCACATGGGCTTCACATTGGACAATGTGGCTGACGCACTCACCATCATGATCATCTAAAGCTCCCTCTCTCCGTATAAAAATGACAGTAGCCTAGAGAGAGAAGGAGGTGGGTGGAACGAAAAATAGGAGAACAAGGAACCACAAAACTAGACTATAAAAAATCATTAAGGCAAGATTCTTTAACCCTAAATCCCCAGCTAGAAAAGCAAGCTAGAAACCTTTTTCCGACCATAGGAAAAACCCATCTCTTGTATCCCAATCTTATGCAAATAAATAAGATATCAATGGACGTAGGCCTTATTCTCTTCCCGGTCAAAACACTTTAAAAACATCTAATTGTCTCATCAATTCTCAGTAGGCACATCACCACCTTGGTCACTGCCGCATGTGACACAACTCACTTACGCTGATTCCCAGGATCACGCACCCATCTTACTCAATTCTCTTTTTAGTCTACCAAGTACCTCTAGTTGACTTGCATCTTCGTCTCAAAAGTTTAGCCAGTGTGGAAATTCGCATCAACAAGAGTCGAACCTTTTGAGTAGTCTGACTAATAATTGGGCCCAAGTTGTAGGGAAACCCGAATCGTAGAGCTATAGAGTAACTAGCTTGTGGAGTGGTCAGATTCGTAAAATGGACGAGCTTATAACTCGTAGAATGCTACAAGATGGGATCTGATATAAGACCAACAAAAGTTAGGCAGCCATGGTTTTAATATAGGACAAACCGGAGTTGGTCATGGCCCTAAGCCGCCTACTGATAGTCTCAAAAGTGAAGTCAAGTGCTATTGGGCTGTCAGGATTCCAATACGGATTTTTGCCCATACAATAGTGAATTTCGCAAATATGATGACGCTTGCACTTTCATATTGAGTGTAAGACAAGGTGTACTTGCATAAAATCGAGTTGGACAAAAATGACAACTTGAACATGATACGAAAGTCTTTTACAGGAACTTTTGTGACATATATATAACGATTTTTACATATACAATAACACTTGCCCTTTCATATTGATTTTAAGACATTGTTTACTAGCATAAATTTGAGTTGTATAACAATCGGCAACTCCAAAACACTGCAATAGCCATTTATGATAACTTTTGTGGTATATATATATATATATATTGAATTTCACAAACATGATGATGCTTTCACTTTCGTATTGGGTGTAAAACACGACTTACTAGCTTGGGATAGTCAGGTCCGAGTACCCGCTTGAATCCCATGGAACAGGAATCGACCAATTGATGCGTGCAAAAGCAACACCTAATTTTAGCTCACTTAAAATCTATAGCAATGTCGTGTAGCAGTACAAAGCAAGTAAGGGTCTTTCCCGCATAAGACTTTTCTAATTAACTAATTACCTACTTAAATAGGGGGTTTCTATGATTAAACAGAAAATTAAAAAACAACTATTTAAACAAGTAACTAAAAACAAGTAACATAATTATAAAAATGAGAGAGTATGAGACAAATTGGATTGAAGGATCATTCGCCACCACTAAACGCGTTCTTTAACTTTCTACCCTCTTGATTACATCAGCTCAGAAAATACCAAACGTTGATAAGTTCCATCTCTCCTTACTGAGTCATTGGATTAGACACGATTGTAACCTAATTCCCTATTTACTATTTATTAAATAACCTATGATACGATCTCTAGATTCAAATTAATAAAAGCATTAAGATGTGAGAGACCTACTGAATCAAGGATAAACTCATATAGTCGGTTTAGTTATCTTGAGTGATTACCCCCAATGCATGCAAGCATACACTTTACCACTAGTTATTTAGATTAATAAAGCGATTATGTACTGAACAACCTAAATTGGCAATAATAAATTAATCATAACTATTTAATTGCACACTTAAACACTTAAGACATTCTATATAAATCTTATTATCAGAGAATAAATCACATAATCAACAGGGATCAAAAGATAAAAAGAAGCAGATTTTATTAATCACAAGACATGTCTAGGTTTTGAAATCACCATCAATCACAAAAGAATTAGTTATCAATGAATAAAAAATAGAAAACATCATCATATTATTGATATCAAATAATAAAAAAGGAGAAGAAAAACCTAGTAAAACTTGGATGGATTAATGGAGTTGATGATGATCTCCAATTCTTCTTCTCCAAGCTTCTTTCAATCTCTCTTCCTCTCTACATTACTGTGTATTTTTGTTTCTCTCCATTCTCTCTCTCCTAAAAATACCTAAAGACCTCCTTTTATATTGCTAGGGTTGTGGAAAAATTAATGGGAAAGTCTTATACAAAAAAGGAGAATCAAATTCGGATTAGGCTAGAGAGAATCCATGTAGAATTATGATTCCTACACTGACCCTCTAGTACTGAAAATGGAATATCATCTTCTAGAAAACTCAGAATTACAAACCGTAAAATTCTACATAAACTAGACTTCCAGAGCTTCACAAGAATATATGGCACGGCTCCCAATTCGTTCGGACGAATTTATGGCAGCTTTCTGCCTCCTGGGCACGCCTTTTCCAAACCAGAATCTGAATGCCATGGCGCCGAAAGATCTTCAAATTTGAACATGAAAAATTCATAATCTGAAGAAGTCATAAACATAATAATTGTATTCCTTCACGTCAGCTTCCAAATGGTCCAAGAATCACCCAAATCAGAAGTCTACAGATCAAGTTATCGTCGAAATACCGAAGCATACTCAAAACTGGAGCATTTTTCAGATTTCATGTTCCATACTAAATACGCCATATCTTCCTCATTTCAACTCCGATTCTTGAACCGTGTTTTTCTAATAATCACAAATTCTCTTGCCAACATCATCTTTTATCCGAATATTATTTTTAAGCTTTTATGCCCTGAAAACACAACAAAAATACCCACAATCCCAAAAAGTGCATTCATTAAACAATTGAGTTAATTCATGCAAATTAACCATAGTTTCCCACAAACGATACCTATAAATCACTGAGTATAAGTGTATTTTCAAGCACTTATCACCGGTTCTTGGGATTTGGAATCAAAACAGAAATTGGAACCAAAACTAACCGGTTTCAATTCCTAAATGCCTGAAACCGGAACCTGAAAAACAGGGTTTCAAGTACCTGGGAAAATTTATAATACCCCTACTATTCACAAAAATGACAAATATACCCTATGAAATTACAAGTAAACCCTCAACTATTTATAAAAATTACAAATACACCTGGTTCCTACCTGGGTACTAGATCTTGGTTCCGATTTTGATTCCTGGTTCAAGTTCTGATTCCTATAATGGTGGAACTGGCATTGGAACCGCACAATACTTGTACCAATTTTTTAGAATCGAAACCAACCCTGTGAGGGTCGGTTCTGGGTAAGAACCGGAACCAAAACCTCGGGTACTTGCCGATTCCAGTTCTACCCTAAATTCCTACACACCCTTATTACTAGCATAAAATCGATTTTTATCACCATTGGTAACTCGAAAACGTTACAAAAGTCTTTCACGAGTACTTTTGCAACATATACATAGTAAATTTTACAAATACGATGACGCTTGCACTTTTATACTAAGTGTAAGACACGTGCAACATGTTAAGCTTTATTGCTCTTATGCATCTATTGTTTTTATGTGTGGATGAGCTTTAAATGGTTGCATGTGCATAACAAAAAAAATGCAATTGTTTTCAGACTAAAAATCTAATGGACATTGGAATAAATTATACCACTGAACAAATTTAAGGGTGTCATGTCTAATGATATTAGCAGGACACCTTATTTTGTTGTCATTGGACAGTGAAATGTAAAGTTCGGCAAAAGGGTGGTGTTTTTTGGCATCTCTATTCGTTGATGATTGCATTGAAAGATAAATCGGCATAGCTTGAGTCTCATGGTATCTTTGACAAAGTTAATGCTTTACGACGATAGAGCACATGACTATCCCTTCTATTTTCTTTGTTTTTTTTAAACTTTAGTTTACGAATTACCATCCTACCCCTAACTTAGTTAAGCTCAATTTTACAAAAGATAAGGGGGAGGTGGGCTATGGTTTGTCAATACCTTTAGGAATGTAAGTAATTTACTGAAATATTAGGGGGATTATTGTTGGCTTAATATAAAGCACCCCCTCAATCTCGCGAAACTAAGTGGGTAACGAAAAGTTCTGAAACTACCAAACACACCCTTGTCGCTAATTTTGGTTGTCAAGTTGATATTGACTCCATTTGACTTGTAAAATATCTTTGTCCCTAATACTTTCAATTAAATTTAATTAACCCTCTCTGACTTATGAAATGTCTTATTTACCCTAAAGCTTTCAACTAAATTTAAACTAAAAAAACTCTAAATTGAATACAAAATAATAAATTTTAAATTTTTTTACCCTATCTCTATTTTACAAAGTTATTAAAAATGAAAAATTTAAATATCCAAATAACTTTGTTCATTTTTTTGTTTTTATAAACTTATTTAAGTTCAGTTTTTGAAGAAAAGTTAGAAAAGTTTCTAAATTATGTAGAATAATAATTTATTTTAAAATTAAAAAAAGTTGAAGTGATCATATCTGCGATCTTTGTGATTTGGCTTGATCACAACAGCTTCGATTGTGATCCGGCAAGGTCATAACCTTTTCGACTGTGATCTTTCTGGCAATAGTGGCCTAGCGGCCAAATCTAGTTTCTTCGGTGGTTAACTCTTTTTTCTTCAATTTTTTGTATTATTTAAATTTGTTTTTTTTTTTTTTTGTAATTTTTAAAGATTTTCTTTGAATATTTTTAATTTTTCAGATTATTGAATATGTAAATGTCACATTACCCTTCATCCTAGTTAGAATTAACTAGTTAGAGTTAACTGCCAAAATAGATGGAGGGGGTGTGTTTGGTAGTTTCTGAAATTGTTGTTACTCAATTTAGTTTCGCGAGTTTAAGGGGTGTTTTATTGACCCAATTATTATTTGGGTACGTGGCGTGACGAGACGCTGTATCCGTGCTGAAGAAAGAGGCTTTTGAAAAGTCTTTAGCTTTCGACTTAATCTTCAAAGGTAGCCATAACTCATCCAACTTCGCTCTAAATCTGAAGATCTATTGTGCACCTAATTGAAAAAAATGGCGTACGTAGACCATGCGTTTTCGATATCAGACGAGGACATAATGATGGAGAGTTCGTACACGGTGAATAATCGGCCCCCTATCAAAGAGATCGCTTTGGCTGTTTCTCTTCTCATTTTCGGAACTTTCGGGATCGTTTGTGGAATTTTCATGTCTTACAACAGAGTTGGCGGTGACAGAGCTCATGGTACGTATTCACTTCAATCAATTGTTTTTATGTTTTATTGTATTTGTATTTTTTTTCTGATTTATTATTATATGGATTCATCAGGGCTTTTCTTTGCAATTCTTGGATCGATCTTGTTTATTCCGGGATTTTATTATACAAGAATTGCATATTATGCTTACAAGGGATACAAAGGATTTTCTTTCGCCAATATACCCTCTGTGTAGCCTCAACCTTCACCTTCACCTACACCTGTACAGATCTTCATGTCATCCAACTTGTACTATTTCTTCTTCTTCCTCCTCTTTATGAAAGATATTTTTTTTTTTTTTTTTCAAATCATAGTATGTATTTCGTTTGCTAATGTGATGAACAGTGGACTCTTTATTCGGTTTTGGCTATATAGTGATAACTCGTTTTCTTTATGTACCCTTTTGTGGGTTGTATGATGAGTTACGATTTTTTTTTTTTTTTTTTTTTTTTTTTTTGGTCAATAAAAGTGATATTCTGTTTTCTCTATGCACCTTTTTTTAGGTTTCTGATTGAGTTGGAAGAAATATTATTATTTTGAATAAAATAATATGTATGTTAGTTACTGTGTAATGAACAGGGTTTCTCTATTTAGTTGTCGATATTGTGTTTTCTTTATGCACGGTTTTGTGGGTATTGTGATCAGTTCACAGTACAATAGACTCTTTGTTGAACTTTCTTTTAATGTGGCATATAAATTTCTTATTAAAACTCAAAGGCAGATGTGGCACAGCTAATCATTTTCATGATTTGGGAGTCTTGTGATTTTATGTAATATTTTCATAGCAAATCAAGGTCTGAAAGAGTGGAGAGAGATATTACTATGCTTAGTATTTTGAGGAGGCACATGGAATAGGCAAATTAGAGTTCGTGAGGTGGCTAGGAGGTGGTTAGAAATCTTCCTTTTTTGAAATTTATAATTATAAATTGTTGTAATTCTATGAGAAACAGGATTTAGGATACATGAGAAAGAGGTTGAGTGGTTCAGTTTGAGATTGCCTTTATCGTTATTTTAGCCAATTGATACTCTGACATTTGCTATGCATTGGTATGATTAATATCTTTTGTAAATCAGTTAATTTTTTTTTTTTTTTTTTTTGGTTTAGTTGGCATTTGGTGTTCTTTAGACCTTGTCGAGAGGGTCAGTGATCATTGTAATTGGTTTTCAAGTAATTCTCTTTTTCGCTGTAAATAGTTCCTCAAGTAATTGATATTTTGCTGTCCTTTGCTATGAAAATAACTGTTGGACCAGAGATCTTTTTTTTCATGGGTACCAAGGTTATAGCTTTGAAGCTAGTTTGGTTGAAAGAGGACAGGCAAAGTGATGGGATAATTAAATACTAAATCATGTTTTTATGGGTCCTTTATGAAAAACCACATGCTCAGCATGAAACAGGCCTTTGAGATGTTGTTTGTTAGCAAAGGAAAGTATTGCTACAGAGGTAAATTAGAAGACTGATATTCATGTAAAATTGGGTGAGGAATTTAGTACAAGGAAGAAAATTGTTCGAAAGTTGTAAAACAAGCGCATTGTCAGGGTTGCAGTTGCTACACACTTTTTGTGCTTGCCTGGTTCTTTAGGGGTATACACTAGTGGGTTTTTAGGAGTTAATGGAAGGGAGTGTTTCAGGACTACTTTGTTATTAGTGGAAGGTATTTAGGTGGACTCATCTTCCTTGGAACATGTGAGCTGTGGATAATCTTTTGGGCTGAGAGTTAGGCTTGTGTGGAGGTCTTCATTATGATAGTGGTCTGATTATGTGCTTCCGGAAATCTATTTGGATGCACGAAAGCCTCACATTTGTATGAGGGACATTATTAATCGACTTGCTAAGACTTCCAATGAGTCTCGAAGAATAATCTTTTCATTTGTAAACTTTTCAACTGTGTGGCACAATAGAGGTTTCTTACAAAATAAAAAATAAATAAATATATGTTTTTTTGTTTTTTTTTTTTTTTTGAATCCTTTTTTTTTTCTTACAACACAATATGAAGTTTTCTCTCTAAGACTTGAAATTATGATATATACTTATGGTGAAATTTCAGATGAACATGGATGGTCAATGTTATTATAGTTCTTGTCTAGTGAACCCTATTGCTTGTCTTGAGGTCGATATAGGTGTATTAGGCTGAAAATAGGAATTGACTTGTTATGCCGTGGATTGCTTAGCTAAAAGAATATGCTATAGCAGTTGCACTCTTTTGTGTTGCCACATGCATCAAAGTTTAAAACATTTTTTTCTTAATGATTGTGGTGCCAATCCGCAACTGAATAGTCTCTGTTCTGTCCGGCATTACATTCATAGTTGAGGGTTATGGTCATTTTCTTTATTTCATAAGTATTTGTACATGGATGTTTGGTAACTTTCAAGGTGCGTTTGGTTCAGGAAATATTGATTATTGAGAATATTATATTAATGGAAAAAGAGACTTAACTTGAAACGAATAAAAACTATGTGCAGAACCCAATGATATAAAGTACCTAACAAAGTACTAACATTGGAAATTTGAAATTCCCTCTAATTTTTTTTTTCAAATTTCCAATGTTAGTACTTGAATTAGTACACATTGATTAGTGCACATAGCATTACTCTAACTTGAATATTACTGAAAATTTTTAAGGAAATGTGTTTGGTTAGTTAGAATAAATTGGTAGATATGTTATATTAATATGTTTGGTTAGGAGGAATAAATTGGTGGGTGTGTTATTTAAATTTCTAAATTGTCTTCATTTTTAAATATTAATATAATATTATTTTTATTATTAATTTTTGAATAATTTTTTTTAACCCCTAACATTTTAGATTTAGCTAAAACACTCCAGCTTATATAGAACTTTAATTTGGAACAAAATCACCCCCATCCATCCTAAGCCACTGTCAGCCACCAGCCACCACCGTCTGTTGGTCGTCGCCTTTTGCCACCTGGAGTCGTTGGGAGTCTTCGGGAGTTATCGATATGGTTGTAGATCTATAGATCTAGTTGTTAATTGCTAGATCTATTCTAGCCATCAGGCCATTTTCGACCAGATCTACGGCTATATTGTCGGAAATGGCGATATCGGTGACTCTCAGTGACTTCTGGCGGAAGTTGACAGTGGTTGGCCAGCCGTAGGCGATGGTGGTCAGCAATTCATTTTAAATATAACGACATTATTGTCAAAAAAAACTTAATTAAACAAGGGTTAAATTATAATGGTAGATTATTGTAAATTGATTTTAAAAATTGTCCAAAAAATTTATTAATAAGGGGTAAAATTGTAACAAAAATGAGATTATCAAGTAATCTTACATTATCTAAAAAAATGAGGTAATTAAATTATCTCTAATATTACTAATAGTAACTACTATTGGTATTAAAAAGTTATTAGAATCTTATATCACTTAACAACAAAATATAATAATCAAGTAAAATAAGATGATATTATCTTAGTAATCCTATATAACCCTCAACCAACCACACTTTTAAGAGGATATTTCGTTATTGAGAAATATGAGCATCTTGATCCTAAGAATCATTGGCAGCATGAAGGTTTAATGAGTGGTCGGTTTTCAACAGTAGTACGTTGGGCTTCTTTTA